AGTTGAAAATATTTGTGTAGGGAAAGGACTTTTATTTTGTAATAACCCCTAAGCGAGAGCAAAACCATTTGAGGAGTAATTATTTAAAAGCGGGCTTCAAACAAACCGAGGTAAATCAGCCACAAAACAGAGATGTGTTCCTTTGGAGTTTCGCCTGCCTTCAATTAATGCCACAGCCCCACCCATAGCTGGTGAATTAGCCCTATTCATCTCCGTTAAAGCGTTGAGAGGTGATGCTTCACTTTAACTGCACCACACCATGGTTCATTTTCCTGCTAATCAGCATTTAGTGCTGTGAAAATCCAGGTGTGAGACTACTGTTGCAAGTTAAATCTGTTCCAATTTTTAGACTTTTTTTCCCCCCTGAAATCAACCATTAATTAGTCACAAACATTTCTCCTCCATTTCTAATTGGCTTGTATTTGTCAAGATACAGTTAAAGAGAACGTTTAATTAATTAAACATGAAAGTCACACCTTTCTGAGTGTTGGAGAATACAGATGTAACAGATTATTTTTTCCCTCCAAAATCCAACGCCACCATCAGATTTGCTCAACTCTTTATCACGTTAATTAGCACCTCAATCCTGTCCTTTTTGCAAATGAGGCTAGGTGAGAGGTGTGGGTATAATGGCTTAAAATGCACAGAGCTAACGAGTTATTCATCCCTCCACAGCTGTTCCATCCATTCAAACACTTAAAACCTTTTTTTCGGTTTTATCTTTATTTGTTTTTATGTGCGTTTTTCTCTTCATGATGGCTAGCTAGGTGTAAGTTGCATGTGTACGGTCGGTCTAGTGGCGTACTGTTTTGAGGTTTTGTCTTGGTTTGTCTAAAGTAGATCCAGGTGGAAATTATATTCATTGATAATTTACACAAACAGGTGTGAGAAGCCCAACATGAAGTGTTATTTCGCTTGTCACATTAACGGCAGAAAGGACTGTCAGGCTTAAATGTTAGCGGCTTAGCCGCCGACTTACCTACCATACCACAAACGCCTCGGCAAATGATTTTTGTTAAATTAAGCGTTGTTAAAATGATTTCAGACAACTACACAACACATTTCGCTCACGATCAGAGAACATCATAGGGGTTTTTGAGTAACAAAGTGAAACGATATCCATTAACCCACTGGTTTTGCTTAAGGACCCTGATATTACATTAAACAAGTTGCAACCAATTGCAATGTTGAAATAGTTTTTCCCTCTAGCTTTAACATAAAGTGATCCGTTCAATGGCTCCAAAAAAAAAAAAAAAAAAGAGTTTCCAGAACTGAGTTCCCAAAAAAAACACACCCATGCACCGTTCAAACTCCTGAAGAAAAACTCATGAATAATTTTCTTAAATTCTGCTGCAATTTGTTGTAACAATTTAAAATTGGTTGAGATTACTTAAATATCTAACTTAAAGTTAACTAAACTTTAGTCAAGTACGAGCACTTAGTTTAAGTTACAACATATTACAGAAGAAAACAACATTATTACTTCTAATGCTGAATTTTAGGTTGTGATATATCAGAGCTATAGTTATTTGCAGCAATCATCTTTTTATATTAGACCTTCTTGATGCAAATCAGATCTGTGCATTAAGACTTGCAGCCTATAAGAAATTCAACACTTGCAGGAAAACTGTAGGTTAGAACTGTATACTGACCATGATTGAATTGCATAATGTGCAGATGAAGTCACGGCGATTCGTGATCTGACTGTGGGGAGGTGCTGCTGTTTTGGTCACCACATAAGTGGAGCCATCAGTGTGAGTGGTTGCCAATGAGTGGTGTTGCTCATCCATGAGTTATTGCTTTAAAATGAATGCAGGTAGACAGGCTTTGAAAAGGAAAACAGGTTCAATTAGTACTTCAGATAATAAGAGGCCACTTCAGCTAAATTTCCTGAAAATGAATAAGTGGACACCTAGTGAGTAAATGGCTATGGTTGTGTTGTTCAGAGTATTTTACCCCGCCTGAACCATTCCTGCTGAAAAATAAATAAATAAATAAAAAACAAATTAGCCAGTGAACCAGCATTAGATTTTGGTGGATGCTGCTTGCATAAGCACTTGACAGCAAGAACGTCATAATTCTTCAAAGAAAAGTGATATTCATGTTTTCAAAGAAAACTCAAAAAGGTTAACTTGTCAGGTTTGACTGCTTCTACAATGGAAATTTACAAAACAAAACACACTAAAGACCAGATTTAAGAAAATACATAATGCTTGCTCATGCAAAACTAGGGGTGCTCCGATTGATCGGCCACCGATCACTATCGGCCAATAATCACGTTGGGATGATCGATCAGCGGTCTCTAAAAGGCCGATCTCAAAAAAACGATCTCAAGCTGATTACGCTGCCGTGAGGTTTGGCACGACATGCAGCAGCACCGTCTCAGTCTCTTTCCGGTGTGGGTGAAATAATTATAATGCTGAAGGTGAGGTACTCACCTTCATATTTCTTCATTAAATAACTTAAATTTGAAAGCCTTGTATGAGACATAATTTCACAAACAGCGTGAGTGAATCACTCTCTCTTTCTCTCTCAAAATACGCAAATGGCTTCAAATCACCACACATCGCGTCTGTCAATAAGCGAGCTACACACTGCAGAGTTGACACAGGAATTGTCACTTGCACAGTCGAGGCAGTGTCACATCGTCATTAAAGTTGATAAATTGCATTTCTTTTTAAATCTTGCCAGTGTTTAACCATTCAGCGCTCGCGCACTCTCCTGGAGACCATGCGCTCATACACACTCGCAGCGCACACACATAACGCCAGGTTCACATTATTCCAGTTGCAGTGAGTATGTGGTGCGTATTTTTTTCCACGCTCATGTTAACGGATTAAATATGGCGTTCACACTGTACACGGTTGCGTCCGGCAGTGCGTTCAGGAGCGGTGCATCTGTAGCAGTGCCGAGATCATTTCCGCACCGAGTCTATGTTTGCTGCACTGCAAGCGCTTAAAGTAACAGAGCATTGTTTGCGGTAAATATGAAAACGAAAATGTAGCAATTGCACCATAAATGCATATAATTAAAGTATACTGTCTTTCACAGTCAACACATATGGCTTGTTGGCTAGTTTTAAAGGAAAAGAGCACTTTTAAATAAACAAGGCAATAATAGATGGCACTCGTGGAGGTAGGAAAACAAAGTTCTTTATGAACCGCAGGATTGCTTGTAATAAAGATTTCAATGCAAAAGGAAAGGCAGTAGAGCTGACTATTTCTGTCAATGGTAAGTTTGTGATAACGTAAGAAAAGTAGTTTAAATGTTTTGCCACTTGCTTGAGCAACTTAATATATAAATCTAGAAGTAAATACAAAAGTAAAAAGCATTGGATGAGGTGTTGCTTATATTTATATGTCTGTGAAAGATTGTATTACTGTACTGTGTAAAAAAAGAATTGCAATGCTGAAAAAGCATTTTCAGTGACAATGTTTGGATTTGAAATCAAAATAATGGATAAATGCTGTGTTTGTGGTAAACAGCCACGGATCAGTAGCGGACTCCTGTGTGAAAGCTGCTTCCCTTCTCACAAGAGTCACCTAAGAGGGGAATTCCCCCCATTTTCAAAAATATCTAAAATTTATAAATGTCTAAAAATCCTGATTGTTAACTCAAATAGTTATAAATGATAAAAAGAAGGCTTTAAAAAGATCGGTATCGGTGATCGGTATCGGCAGATACTGCTTTCTGTGGTTGGCAATCGGTGATCGGCCTCAAAAATCCTGATCGGAGCACCCCTATTCAAAACACATGCAGCAAAAACCTGGGTTTTTATATGTGAAGTGTTTTTAGAACATGGTTGCTACGTAGTTGCTTATTGGCCCAAGTCAAAATATTGCTCAAATTTCTCCCATGACTGATTTTTTTTTTTCACCCATTGTATTGTTTGCCAGGAAAAAATATTAATATTTTTAAAAGTTAAAGGGATAGTTCAATCAAAAATGAAAATTCTGTCATTAATTACTCACCTTCATGTTGTTCCAAACCCGTTCATCTTCGGAAGATATTTTTGATGAAATCCGAGAGCTTTCTGACCCTGCATAGACAGCACGAGAACCACCAAGTTCAAGGCCTAAAAATGTAGTAAGAACGTCGATAAAATAGACCATGTGACATCAGTGGTTCAACCTTAATTTTATGAAGCTGCGAGAAAACTTTGTGTGCAAAGAAAACCATAATATAATATAATATAATATAATATATTAGTGCTGTCAAACTATTAATCACATCCAAAATAAAAGTTTTTGTTTACATAATATATGTATGTGTACTGTGTATATTTATTATGTATATTTAAATACACACACATACAGTATATATTTTAAAAATATTTACATGTATATACATTTATATTCTTATATTTTATACTATACATAAATATATTTAATATATAAAAAAAAATCTTAAATATATAAATGCATGTGTTTGTATTTATATACATAAATATACACAGTATACACACATATATTATGTAAACA